TTACAATAATTCGCCGTTCCGCCGCAATATAACTTGAGCCTAAAACTTAAAGTAGCAGTAGAGTAGTAGTAGCTGTAGAGCTCCTTGTGAAAGAGCTCATCCAGGGTAGTACTGCCATCTTACCTATATCTGCCGCCAAGCAGTATTGTCAGCAATGTTCCGGTTTTAAACCTGGTGTAATTACAGGCACATGGGACTTGTCATCTTATGTATCTTATATTTCATATTTGCGATTTAAAGCTCTAAGTGACACTGCAACTGTTATGGGTAGGCGTGTAACTTACCATCAGGCGCACGACTTATTCATCCCGTTACTTAATATTACAAAAAAAATGTAGACCTTTGCTCACTGGAACGTACCTAAACTACAGACCTAAGTTACCAGATGCCAACACAACCAGACAGCTCAACGTAACGTACACACAATAAACCAAATAAAACAAAGTTTTACTATTTTGCTTGCGTGACCAACGACAGCGCGTGTTACTAACAATTTCACAAGTTTTCAAATAACCCGTTATGTACATTACATACCTAGTTCCTCTTTGATTGATCTATTTACAAGTTATGAAAGTTATTTGCGTTTTACAAACAAGGCTTAACTTATTTAATCTGTTTGGCAGATATTGGAGCAGAAAATCTGATTTACGCTAGGAAATGCTTTCGCGTTCCTGTCAACTCCTTCATTGCCTATTTAATTATAAATAGACAGCCAACTGTACATTTTTTTAGCTTAGCAACAATTTTATTTAAGCAATGCCAATAAAGGACGACTTGAAGGTGCTTGAAGCAAAACGTGACATAGTGAGTTTATTATCAACCAAATTTACAATATTACTAACGATAAGGACAATGTAAATTCGAAGTTCAATAAAACATAGGAAATGGAAGCTATTTTTTCGGATGTAAATCGCGTATATTTGTTTTTTCAAACAAACCAGCGTTTCGGGCCCTTCCCATGGTCACGCATGTCCATAGCGAAAAATAGAGTGATTTGCATTAATATTAGATATAACTTTACCATCTCAATCAGCCGTGACTATGGGACCTGTAAAAGGCCCGAAACATTGGTTTGTTTGAAAAAACAAACTATGTTTCTGGACCTTTATCCAACTCATCCTATAGAACCCGAATGAACATGACCACAGAGATCGAAATAAAGTTACAAGTTAAAAAGGTATGCGTAGTCGAGTCATCCACCACTATCGAGTGTATTATATACTCGATGTCCACCACCTTCGCTTATTCCAACGCCTTTTATTAATGTTTTTTACGGATTAATGAGTAACTTTATTAGGCTGTAGAGTGTAATTCTGCAGCGGCAAATTGTCTATATTTAAAGGTTGCCTGGAAGAAATTGCCACTTAGTAGTGGGGCCGCCTGTTGTACATTGGCTTACTCTGTGATGCTTAGATTACAGTTCTGTGTTGTGGTTATAAATTTGAATGTGCAATAAATAATATTTAATTCATTCATTCCCTCATTCAACTGTATCAAGCGAGAATGTAGAGACTCGGTTTTGTCTACGGATTTATATATTTCATAAACTGGATCGCGCACTTCGATATACAAAAATTACAAATTTACACCTTATTGGGTTATGTTAAGTTGCCAACCCTAAATAAAATCATCTTAATAAAATTAGCTTAAAGGTTTTACTGCAGTAATACAAAAAATATTATGTCAACAATAAAACCTTCTATTATGAAGTAGCTTATCAAATAAATATACTAATTTGTATTATGAAATAATATTAGTAGTTTTGGTCATCTATAAGTGGCCACATTTTCTGTAAAAATTAAAAAGTTACAAACAATATGGCTGGCTGAAACATGAAAGAACACCCTATCAGAAAGAGACGCGTTACTACCTTGAAGCCCCTCACTCGGCTCGTTTTATTAACTTAGTGCGCAGTCCAGTTTAATATACAAGTCCGTGGTTTTGTCTCATTCCTGGGAGTTTACTCCGGTCTCCGTCCGACATTCGTCCGGAACAATTACTGCGAAACAGGTGACACGACTAAATTAAAAGACGAATGTTGCGAACTTGATCATTGATCATTGATTCATCTCTTGATTTGGTCGTGTATTACTGCTGTTTTGGAGAGCAAAAATGACAACCGCACCAAAAATATTACCCGTGGTGGTGTTTCATATCATCGGCAAGTCTTATTTTAATAAATTTCCAATTTTCAATTTTCTGTTTATCGAAATATTTTTAAGTTACACGAAACGAAAGTAAAGCTTATATATACCCCTGCAATATGGTTGCTTCTTTTTTGGAGAACTAAATTAATACCTCTAATTCGTCGTCGTTCAGCAATTAACCGCTAGATGGTACTACATTGATTGAAAATTCAATATGTCACAACGTCGTAACTGGCAGTAATAGGTATTGATGGTACTGAACTTTCAACAATATGCCAACAGGGTAAAGTTTAAATTATATTAACAATCCAGAATGTGCTATTTCTCTTTAAATTTGAAACTACGACCAATCAACATCAAGATTTTTGTAATGTTTCAAATTAAGAATGTATGAGTTTTAGCGACATCGGTTTTCTTAGTAATCAAGGCTTACGGCACTTCCATTGTTTTTTTCTTCCGTGATAAAATAAAACATCTAACAAATACGATTTCGCCTATAGAAAGCTCACCTATAGTAAAGACTTACATCATCGATAATAATTTCCTCGTGCGTGAATAATTAACTACGTATTTTATAAACAAAACAAATTCCTTCCGCTTCACGATAACTATTTAATACGTAACATCTCAAATGAAGTAAGTACAAACTAAAATTAAAACGAATTTTAAACTTTACGGGGTTTAAAAACCGCGCAAAACTGGGTATTAATTAACCAGCAAGAAGTCACAAGATCATTTCATTACGTTTCTGCAATTGCCAGTTTTCCGATTATCGCTCTTATCAATTTCTATCTTTGTCTAATAACCTGTATTGTAGTAAGTCAATAAAAACACACTTAAAATTTAAATTCAAATGTACCTTACCTTACCGTAATTACAGTCCAAAGTAAATATTAATGAATGTACTCATTACTGCGTATAATTGTGATAGTTTATACGCCAGCTCTTTGTTAAATTCCCGGCAGTACCAATTTTGAAAATGAAATTTTTAAACTGTTTCTTGTCTGGGTGTTCTGGGTAGTGCCCCTGTATTACTTTTGTTGCTTTGATATTCGTAATGCTGGGAATTTCCGTGCATTATGAGTACGAAAGCCATTTTAATGAAAATATACAGGGTTATTTTTAAAGTATTAACAACCTCGCAAGACTATACTAGTATTACTAACATCATAAACAACAATTTTAGTTCCATCACCTTTTACAAAATGTAATAAATTGAGTGAAAATAAATTTTAAGTTTTTGTTGTACTATCTGACACTTCTTAAATCTGTGTTTGGGAGTATGGTAAGTTCAAACGTGCAAGCGTCCTCCGCGACGACTCCCAACCTCGTCCTGTACAGAGTTATTACCGTTTAGAGCGATCTATTTCAATATGTTTATTTTTGTATGAAGATAAAATCTGATTAATTATTAAAATCGTGGAACAAAAGTTGTTATTTATGATGTTAGTATTATAGTCCGCGAGGTTGTTAGTATTTTAAAAATAACCCTGTATAGTCCCACTGCTGGGCAGAAGCCTCTCACAATGGCATATAGGCTGTAGTTCTCATGCGGGCCCAATGTGGATTGACACAAAAGCTAAAAAGCGAAAGAGAACATATTGCTTTTAGCAGCCGTCATCTCACGTTTCCATTTTATTTTTATGATATCAAGTGACGGGACGAACGAGTCGTGCACCTGGTGGTAAGTGACGTCCATACCAGTTGCAGTGCCCCATAAAGCTTTAAATCGCTAAGATCTGATGGGCAGTGCCACTGCGCCCTTTACTCCCAGTCATCGTAAACTTCATCAACTCATTTACATTTCAAAACCGGAATACTGCTTACTGCTTGGCGACAGAAATAGGTAAGGTGGCAGTATTTCCCTGGACGAACTCTATTACAACGAACTCTACTGCTACTTACTGAAGGTTTTTATAATTATTAACATTAGTAATCAACTGCTTTCGACATATCTTTATTTAATTTTTAATCAGGTTTTTGACATAATAATATTACATCGAGTATATAACTAGAAATAGAGACGAAATAAGGGCCATCTATCCCTGTCAACTCATCAGACAAATGGGCCTTATATCATTTTTAAATATCAACTCTCATTTGCGCTGAAATCACAAATTAAAAAGCTAAAATAATACAGCGCCAACAACTGACCTGTGTACGTGTCCGTATATTCCAAAAATATTCTGTATTTATTGTAATAAAGATAATATCTCTAACTATGGGGGCTGTTCCATTCGGTGTTGCGGGAAAAACAGCAAAACATCTAATTACAAAGCAAACGGAATCACATTTCATCGGTAATTAAATATGTAATTTTTCAATATTCGTCCATTATAGCAAGGCTCAAGTTAAACTGGACGATTTGAAGTGAAACAATTGACGACACCCGACAATCGTTTCGAATTTGGGCTGGCCAGTCGGAGCGCAGTTGTCACCGTAATGATTTGGCAGAATAGTATTCAAACAAATTAAATGATATTTCGTCTCTATTCCTGGTTATACACTCGATGTAATATTATAATTTATGGATTGTTTATTTCTTGTTTCGGTGTTTTATTTTTCTTCAAATATATTGTTTTATTCAATTTTAACGAATTAATTATAACTTAAATCGTATCAGTTTTAACCTTCGATGCCTTACGTTTACCTAACGGTAGTTCCGACAAGTAAGTGACATTAGATACACCAAAAACAGAACGCGTTTGAACGTTTATTGCATGCATAATAGATTAAAGGATGTTATTGAATGTTGGTGGCAAGATAGTATATGTTCTGTATACTCGCGCATAGGGTATTTTTTTGCGAATCCAAACAAAAGTCAAGATAAATAAAAAAAGAAAAACTACTTACAATTCTGTGTAATTCGTTGGTATTGTCTTTGTACGGCGTCGCCTGCCACTTCTTAGCCAAATTCCGTGCTCCGTACACGGAATCCGAGTCGCTCCATTCCCTGAAGGCTTCTTCGCCGTCGAAGAACACAAACATGAGGCTAAGGTTCCGGTTTTTGCAGTTATTCAAATGTTTTGCCATCACTTTAGCTAAGTTTATCATCATGGCACAAGGCACTGCTGAGTCCGTTGCACCTGGCACAAAAATAGTTTACGTATAAAGGCCACGAATGCTTAGTAAAACTAAAGGTTAACAAATTACTTTAGACCTTGACGTAGCGGAGTTGGTGTCATTTTCCATTAATAAGGCCATCGTTTATAGCTTAGCGACGCTGATTAAGATTCTATACTACCCATTAGCATGCTAATTTTGTACGTGGTATAATTGAGGAGTAACAGAACAAAAAACTTATCGCATTTTGACTTGTTTTTTAATGCGAAACAGTAGTTTTTGTACGTTTCTAGGAATATTTTATGCACCCGGACACTAATAGCAAAATCCGTGTTAAAAATATGTTTTAAATGCACGGATTTGAACACAATTCAATTAGACTACACGAAATTAGAATCAAAATTTATCAGATTTATCAGTTTCTGTTCCGAAGCTCCTCAATTAATATAACCAATGCTTGAAAGTCAATTTATCTCATCTCGAATTCAAATATTTCCCATAATAATACGGTTTATTTTGCTTGAGTGGTGTAGCGGGGACACTGGCTTTATTTTAGAATTTATTTTTTTACATTTGAAAAATCTATAGTATACGTGTTCGAGTTAGTTTAGTTGATATTTCAAAACCGTTGGTATATGTAAAGTACTTATTGAATACACCTGTTTTCTTGTAAAATATAGAGGTGAAAAATTAGGAATCGTGTTTTCAAACCGTATAGTAGGTAGTCGGTATATATCCTCAATTTCACTACTTATTACATTTTTTCTAAAGCAATTGATTCCACACTTTCACCGTTATTGCGAATCAACCAAAGCCATTTGAGGAGAAAATTAAACTACGGTTAAAAAAAAGGTAAAAGGGAGAACTTGGCGGTAGAGTTCTGAGGAATTCTTAGTGCGGTAGGGTGAAGAATGAGTAATCTTTCAACATAAGAAGAAAATAGCTTAAAATGGGATAATAACTTTCCGAAATCATGAAAAGTAAGAGCGTTTTCAAGAACCACGTATTAAAGACGATACAATTTTGAACAGCGGCCTTATAATCCCTCCTTGTAGGACTCCTATAATATTTTAGCCTTAGAATAATAACGCATAGAAACCTAGCCCGCACACGCTAAGTGAGGCAAATTGAAGCGCGCCAAAAGGGCCTACACGAGCGGGCGGGCCTTCAGTGCTCAAGGTCAACTTGCACCGCTAACAGATCAAGAATTTTAGCTAAAAATGACGAAATGTGCTGTAAATGAGTAAAAATACGTGAGACAAACATAAAATAGATACTAACATCACATTCCATAAGGAAGTAACGCGTTTCAACTTGTATTTGTATATAAATATTCACTAAAACCGAAAATTAACCTACTAAAACTAGCCTACATGAATTTGATTTTTGCCTCACTTGTGACAGTTCGTTTGATATGAAACTATCATTCTATGCGTTATTATTCTAAAACTTTAGCTACAAAAATAAACACTCACCAACAAAAGCGTGTTCCCTGTAGTATTTACTATCGTAATGACAAGCCAGCATCAAATATCTATCAGCTTGCGGATTCAACTTTGCCACAATATTCCTAAAGTTGAGGTTCCCAATGGGTGTACTATCTGTGAACGTGTCCTCCGACGTATCCCAACCGAGCTTTTTCATCTCGGTGATAATGAAGTCGCCGACTCTCTTGTGGTTCGCTGTTCCAACTACTCTAGGTACTAGAATTTTATCCAGCACAGCTCTAAAGTATTTTTGGTCAGCAAGGTCGGATAGCTCTGCTATTTGTTGGTCCGTCAATTCTTGCGCTTGATGTAGGCTCTGCAAATATAGAATAATGTTCTCCTTATGGTAACTAAAGTATTCGACGTTTTTGGCGAAAACGAGTCATAAACGTCTCTCAAACGAGGCTATAGTCCATAGTCTTCCACGTACCGGTGTCATAATGACGTTTTTCTTCACCGAAAAGTTCAGGGTAAATTTCAAATAAAATTTCGCACATAAACTCAAGACGTTCGAGCCCGGATTCGAGCCCACGGCCTCTGTTCGAGAAGCGAGAGGGCAAACCATTGTGCTACCACACCTTGCAATCCCTTTTATCGCTTTTAATATCTTATTAAATTTCAGTTTTCAACGTAATTGCCATTTTTAGGTGATAATAAAACTTTAGATATGCCAATATCTCGAAAGTGATTAAATGCGTACGCTGCGTTTGTAATGACAAGGAGGACTGGGTAACTGGCTTGCAGATTCCGTTTAGGGATTGTGATCCAACTGTTCTTGAATTATTAACATTTTTTGTGAAATTACTCCACTAGTTTTGTTATGATTAAATAATACAAAGATCGAACACAGAAAAATTTTTCTTCTACCCGATGGGACTTGACTCATGACCACGCTGTACTGTAGCGCTGCTCTAACTAACTGAGCTACAGGTCCAGTTATCAAGTAGTCAAAATTCTCCTGTGTTTTTGTTAAAGATCCTTGTACTGAATTTATTCTGCGCCTATGACTTGACCTGTAGCTCGGTACATTACAGAGTCAAACTACCTATTCTTAAATTAATTCATGTCGGAAAACAAAAAAAATTAACAAAAAAATTTGATTTATTTCCTACTTTATTAACAGCCACCGCGTCTTCTTGTGATTTAATAATTTTGTAAACACGTTACATTAGTGATGCCACAAATGTTATCAATATGATTATCGACAACTAATTAGACGCTTTTTAACGCGAAATAAAAACATTCTTAACTAAATAATTACAAAAAATATACGAAAGTCCTGGTGGTAAAACGTGATATTCAAAAATAAATATTATAACAAAATACAACCTTTTATTTTTTCCGAAAGACATTATACTACAATATAAATGGATTGATGTCATGTCCCATAAAGTTGCCTGGACACCAGAGAGACATCACAGCGTTATTTACTTCAACTTAATTCATATTGATAAGTGACGTAGATCCATTGACTTACAATTATATGGACGTCGGGTCCGCGCTAAAAAGTGTCCGCACTTGTAAGGCGCTAAAATCGTATACAGAGCGCCAAACTCCGCTTTAGTCTTCATTTGTTCGACTGACAGCGCGATACTGCGATGACATTACGATTTAAATTTCGAATAGGTTGACTTGGGACATTTTTTTCGTGGTTTTTGTATTAGACCCGTCGTCCATTTATTTGTAAGTCAATGCGTAGATCGAAAGAAAATGACGCAAGGACAGTAAACAACATACAAAATATTATCACGCTAAAATTAAAGTTTATATCATATTTTTTTAATTTTAACATGGCAAGCAGGTATACCTACGCGTTTTTTCACTGTTAAAGCAACTTAGTAATGAGTAGTTAATATCTAATTTGCGCTTTATTCACATAAACTCGATTTATCGATACCATATCCCATCCCTAATTTTGTGGTAAAGGAAGGTCTTAATTTACGTCCAAACAAAAATGTATCTGTTTCATTTTAACAATAGCAAAATCATTATAAGAATTAAGAGCGTCATTAACTTATAATGGCTTATGCTAAATTACTACTTGTAAGCTTTATAGTTATTCTAATGTTGAAACAGTCTTACAAAATTGATAAAACAATATAGTCCAGTCAAAATAATGTCTATGGTTACATAAAATACACCCAGAAAATTCTAGAACAAATAAAGAAAATATTTTGTATAACTTTTATCATTATTACAATTTGCAAGCTACAGATTGAGTAACAAAAACAATGTTCATACATAAAAAGTGATAGCATCTATAGTGAGATTGCAACAGGTTAAGATAAATATCACCAGACATTGTCTACCATTTGTATCCATTGTGTTTTTATAGTTTAAATATTGTTTATAACAACTTCCCCAAAGGTGTTCCTTTAGTGGTACTAAAATAAATGGAAAATTTAACCAGGCCATTAGTTGGTTTTTTGTAAACACCTCTCAAAATCTAGAAAGTCGGAATTAAAAACAAATTATTTTTCACCTGCAATTTCCAGAAAATGGTTAGGGCTTTTTAATACTATGTAAAGTAAAACGGGACACAAACCCACGAAATTGATTTAATGAAACAGATTATATGTAATTTTTTGGCTAATGGGCCAGTGGCCAATGCCATAAAAAAATATTAACACATCAGATGTCAAAGTCATTCTTGTTGCAATTTCAATAACCAATTAGAATTAAGATTTTGAATATTTTAGCTTTTAATGGTTGCTGCCTTTTGGAGTTTTTTTAGTATCGCAGTGTTGCTGAAATTAATTTAACATATGTACCACACTTTTGTTTTAAATAAATAAATAAAAAATGCAGATCACAATATTTTTTTTAATTATTCTGCTAAGCTCTAGCAAAAAAATTAAGGCTGGTTAAATTTTTCTGGGAATAAAGTACCAAGCTCCATACTAATTTGGTACAAGTCCTTTCCTAATTTTAGGTGAAATGATATTGCAGTGCAAAAAAAATTAGTTACTGAAAGAATTGTATTCTGATGAAAGTGTATTTTATTTTGACAATTTTTTTATTTGGAGACCTTATTACTGAAAGAATTGCCAAAAATATGCTTATTAAAAAAGTAATGGCACTAATAATAATGGCAATAAAATACATTTTTCAATCTGGAAGCTAATCCCCTTTACCATGTGTCTGTAGTCTTTGAAGACAATTTTGACTCTTCACTAATTTTGTATGAAAATACTGTATGATACAAAATTCTCCAATTTTTATAAGTTTATCAGCCATTAATATCATTTTGTACCTTTATGGGCTGTATTAAAAAAGCTGATATAATAAATACATTAAGGATTATTGTAGATTTATGTTATCAGTTTATTTGATAATCACAATATAAACGTGTCCTCAAAGTTCTACCTGCTCCTAAGAATATTAATTAGTATTCTTAGACCAACAATAAATCAAGAGATGGTTCTATTTTCAAAATGTATTTAAAAAAGAAATATTTTTTTATAAGTAAAACTCAATAGGCAAGATAGAAAACTTTACCTGTCCTATCAGCTTAGACTTCTGTGATTCGTAATTGATAACCGTGAATTCGAAAGCAGAGTAAGAGGCCACATAACAGTTATGACCTTCGCTCCTGCTTCAAATGAACATTTAATCTTCAAATTTTTAACAGGCCTCATAGCCTGTACTTGAAGCATAAAACATTAAAAAAGTTGAAAGGACACTCACCTTTTCTTGATAAAACGGCCCATCCGTATTTACAAAAGCCAAACAAAGTGTGGCAACGACCACGGCACAAATCGCGATCGTTTTGGCCATTGTCTTTCTCTTGTAAATCACAGGTTGATTAGTTCAAACTGTTCTAAAGTTCACTACATAACATATGTCACGAAACCTCACGTCAGTCAAGTTGAACGGGGATTATGCGTATACAACCTCTACGAACCCCTTTCCAATTCTGTCTGACCAGCAACCACCCTCCCTGCTCACATCTGACAAGTATGAATAGAGCTGTCACTTTGACGTTGACAGTTCCAGGGATATCAACGTTGGCAAATTATTTCCCCAATTCGTATGTTTCACGTCATTGTATCTATTATATCGCTTAAGAAACCAAATAGGTACTGTTGTAACCCAAAATTAGCTAGATATTTATGTGAATACTAGAATATGAGGGATCAGTAATATAGCTTTTTCTGAATATCGTATCAAAACTATATATCGATATTTGAAATCGGATTTAAAAACTATATATTTTCTGAAATTATATTATATTCATGTATACTGCCCGCGTGCGCGCTGCGGTGATACATTGCCATTATTGATATTCGGAATCAGATTTCGGAACTATATATTATTGGATATAGCCCACGTGCGCCCTGATACGTTGCCGTTTGATTAAATCTTATCGTCCACCATTGGAGGGGAACCCGTTACGCCAGAATGAAATAATTTCCATCAAAAAATTAACTTCTCTTGTACTCATTATACCCATCTATGATTATAACGTAGTTAATAAGATCGAAGATCGTTTTTAAACCTAGTTAGTGTGAAAAATCAACATACGGGCGTATTGTCGTATACTCAAGCTTCAGAATTGTGTATGCACAGCCCCTTATTATTAGCATAGTTTCATAACTTGGGTCACCTCCGAGAAAATGGTTTTTGATTTCATACATTTTGAAATAAATTATGGTTTTGGCACGCTGTTATCATTACTACAATGAAAATGCACTAAGGGAATCAGAATTCGTTTATTTAGTGTGAGTATAAACCATTGCTTATAAATAAAATTATTTAAAAATCATAATGGGATATGTCCCAGTTATTACCTAAAAAAACGGTAAATAAAAATAACTACAAATATTTGTACAAAAATGTCTATAATAAAGAGTGAAACCTACAATTTTCTATGCTATCGCCTATTTTTTTTTTTTGTGAAAACATTAAACATATTCGGCAAGCATAATGACTTCAGATTGTGTCTCATTGAATCGTTCTTGCTTTAAACTTATAAGCACTGGTTTTTAAAGATATGCTACCAAACCGAACATAATGAGATAAATCATTTCAAACTAAAGTAATTCATAAAGTGCGATTTTCGTACTTTAACTGCTTTAAAGGTATTGTATGCTTAAGTCATAAGTTTTTTTTTCAGTTTTTAGTGTGCTTGAAAAATATACCAGGGTTTGAGATCTTATTACCCTAAATTATTGGTAAATTAATTTACTTTGCTTCTTGTTGTCATAGAAAAAAATAATATTGTTATATTGTTAGACAGATGACTGATGCAAATAGCATAGTGATTAGAAAAAAATCGAAAGAATAAAACGAATTTAAACATTTTACGGTTTATGTATGTACATACTGATTATTTTGCTATTTAGATGTATCATCTACATATATGTGCCCGACTCTTTTTCAGTTTTATTCTGCAACTTGAGGGTGATGTCAGGAAATGCAAAGCTATTTTAAAGAAGTACTATCTTGAGTCGTAATGTAATTTTTCATTTTATTTGTATTTAGCTCTCTTGATCGTAATATATTATTTGTATTTTAGTAAGTAGTAAGCTAATTTAAGTACCGAGCTTGTTAGCTCATCGCTAGGTGGTTAAACCATTAAGTTTTTACCTAGCGTTAATGTAATAACATACCTAGTTAATGTTTTTGAAATTGAATAAATAAAAAAAAAACTTAGAGCAAATTTTTTTATTGCCGACCATTGTGTGGTGGTTATCTCCAAAAAAATAAAAATATTAAGCCATTGACTTACAAATAAATGGACGACGGGTCTAATACAAAAACCACGAAAAAAATGTCCCAAGTCAACCTATTCGAAATTTAAATTGTAATGTCATCGCAGTATCGCGCTGTCAGTCGAACAAATGAAGACTAATGCTCTGGCCACACAGAGGCGGCCGCGGAAGCGTTCCGGGCGCGGGATTTTTTGTAATGTACCAGTTCTTATGAACCCTGCCACACTGAAAGGCGCGGCGGCCGCGGGGCGAGGCGGCGCGGTGCGGGGCCGCACGCCATGACAAACAGGCAGAGCGGGCGCGGGCCGCGGCCGCGGCGTCCGCGGGGCGGGTGCGGTCGCGGGTGTTGTAATACATTGAGTTCTATGCAACCGTTCACACAGCGCGTCAGTGGCGGGGCGCGATCCGGGAGCGGGGCTTCAGCGGGCTTGGACGTTGTATTTTTTTACAACTAGGGAATGTGTTTTAATTGATTTTAATCAAGTTTCAAGATGAATTCGACGGAAAAACTTATATCATTGGTGCAATCATACCCCAGTTTATTTAATACAAGTGATAGAAATTATAAAAACATAGAAATTATTTGGGAAACAATTCCGAGGAGCTAAATCAAGATCGTGAGTATATTTTTTATGTTTTTAATTATTATTAAAATAATTGCCAAATTTTTCTCTGATTTCAATTGCATAATCAGACGATCGTTGATTTGTACGAATTGGAAGTAGTTCATTGGCCTCAACTGGTTGAGAATCGCTCTGTTGAACCGCATTGTTACCGTTCTTACTTTAATGAAATTGTGTAAACAACACGTGACTTTGACAACTTCTATTGTCGTTTCAATATCATATTGCATGAAACGTCTATAGACTTGCCATTTCTGTGTTAGCTGGCCGAATACGTTGTGGAAAACGTCTCCCTCCATCAATAACAATCAACTGTGAGATACCTCTTCTCTTCTCTAAGAAAAAAACATGACGCCGTAGATTATCTGTTCATTAGTTATGCAGAAACATATAAAAAACTGAAACCCACAATTCAAGCCGAAATCAAATTGAAACTTGCACACATTTTTACAGAAGCTGAACTGAACGACCTAGAAGAGAATCAAATTTCAGTAGCACCGGTACAATCTCCTTAATTTACCGTAATTAGCACAACAAGTAATAACGATCAAGAAAGTATCCCAGTTTCATTGCAACTAATTCCTGAAGACTTGTTTCCCATTATGGTACCTGTAATATAGTTGATGACTAAACTACACATGGTAATTCCAAAAGGTATGGTACTGAATTAATGCTGTGATAACATAAAAAATGTAATAAGAAATGATGAATGCCAATTTAATAAATAAAAAGTTAAATAAATAAACAGTTAAGTTTAATAAGTAGCAACCAAGGAGTTTTATAATTTTTATTAGAGTATTGAATGGTCTACAAAACACTTTTTGTTTGAATAAGTTTGCATTGTTAGTTCTGAGATGTTGATTTTTATGTTAGTGACTCGGATTCATTGCTCCCGAGTGTATAAGTAGGTATATAAGTTAAGTATAATTGCAATTATGCATTGTTCATAATAATTTAAGTAGGTACATAAAATTAAATAGAATTGTTGTTGATTCTACAAATCTTAGATGCCTGTTATTTGTTAAAATAAAAAATCATGGGCCGTAGGAAGCCAGCATTAGACTGATAGTAAAAGAAGTTTGAATTAATTGTGTTAAGATTGTTGATTGTTCATAATAATGTAACTTTCGATAGGGACCTATTAATTATTTGTAAAAATAAAAATGCCCAGCGAGTTTGTTAGAAATAGAAGTTTTAAGTTAACTATGTTAAAATTGCTCAAAATAATATAAGTAGGTACATAAGTTAAATACAATTGTTGTTACATAAATCTTAGATAGATACATATTATTAGTTAAAATAAAATCGCCCAGTGAGACTGCTACAAAAAGAAGTTTCAAGTTAATTTCAATTGCAATTCAAAATAATCAGATGACAAATAATTTGTCAAAATAAAAATGCTCAGTGAGACAGATAGAAAAAGAAGTTTCAAGTTAACTATGTTAAGATTGTTCAAAATAATGCACTTAGGTAGATACATAACTTAAACAAAATAGTTGGTGTTATACAAATCTTAGATAGGTACTTATTATTTATTAAAATAAAAATGCCCATTTGGACTGATAGAAAAAGAAGTTTCAAGTTAATTACGTATATAGATTGTTAATAATAAAGTAAGTAGGTACAGTAGTTAAATGCAATTATTATTGTTGATTCTATAAATCTTATATACCTATTATTTGTTATAATGAAAATGCCCAGTGAGTCTCACTGAAAAAATAGTTTCAAGTTAATTGTGTTAAGATTATAGAATTTTTTAAATGTTTTTAAATAAACAATTTCTGTTCATATGAATAGTTCGATTCAAAACCTTCAAAGTAAGTATACAGAGTGTCCCAAAACTCAACGATAACCTGGGAACAGAATGTTGCCTAGTTTGTAACTACCCAGAAAAAAATATTTAAAAAATCGGAGTCATTTTCTTTTTGTAATATAAGCATTTTAATGAAAAATGTTGAAAATGTACGCCCTGTACCCCATTTTTAAGTACTACAATTACAAATTTGCTAATTTTGCTGTTCTAGTTTTTGTAACGATAACCCGAAACAGCCCAGCTAATGAGCACAATGCCAAAGAAAGCCCGAATTACTCTAGTAAACTCTAGTTTCAGCACTAAAAAAATATGTATTTAATTTTTTCTTGAAATTTTTAGCAGATTTTTTTCAAGGTAACTTTAACACCCCATACAAAAGTTTAAAGAAGTTCTTCTACATCACTATCCGATAGTGACATGGACCTTTCTTTATTTGTGTTGAAAATGAAATGTGGCGTGACGCTTTTGGTGTCACACCGGCCGCCTTCGTGCCGCTGTCCCGTCACGAACTACACTCGGGATTGCTGTGTGGCATGCCCCGGCACGCATTCGCTTCCCGCAGGTCCGCCCCCGAAACGCTTTTCCCGCTATACCGCGTCTGTGTGGCCTGACCTTAAAGCGGAGTTTGGCGCTCTGTATACGATTTTAGCGCCTTACAAGTGCGGACACTTTTTAGCGCGGACCCGACGTCCATATAATTGTAAGTCAATGTATTAAACAAATTTTTTGTTACACTTTACTTTTTTACGCAACACTAAAATACAATATTTTTGTTTGAGTACCTATATGTATAGCTGTAACAGACTGTAACCAAATAAAGAGTATTTTATAATAAAAATTATATACATTGAAACCGTCTATTGATTCATTTAGTCTACATACATCCATAATGACGTCACAGTTCCGTGACGTACACTCGGCTTTGATCTCCCCTTTATCGGCACTTTCTTTAAACTCATTTGACTTTAGTGTGGGCGCAAATCAAATTATGAGGTCGTGTCTCGAGTGGCGCGAAATACTTTTGTCGTCAGTCGGTCTCTGGAGGAAATGCTGCATAAAATTGGATTCCACATGTAATCTATTTTGGGAACCAAATTTTATGAAAGTCAAGACGCCAAGGACAACGATCCTTTGTTTTTTATAATTGAATCTGCCTCCTCTGCACAACAGACGTTGACTATTTTTAGATTTGTACTCGTATGTCAATGTCAGTTTTTAAAAATAACCCATCCGCACGGAACGTTGAATTGACTTCATTGGAATACCTACACGTTATGGTGGTTAAGGCTAGTTACCTGAGATAAGCGGGAAAAACTGTTTTGCTACAACAAATGGGTTAGGTATTTACTATTAAATAACGTGATTACAAAAAATATACGATACACCTAAGGATATTGTCTAAAGAATATGCTAATTTGTTTGTGTGTGTTGTTGTACTTTATCCGATCATGTAAAATCCTAAAAACAGGTTAAAACAAAAATCTAAAACGAATTATTTTTATGAATAAAATATCTAACCTCATTCAACATTAAAAAATTTTAAGTTTTTAAGTATACCAACCATATTGAACTAACTGGTCAATCAAAAACAAGATATGTAGTAACTACTACCACTTGGAAACTCAATTTAGATCGGTAGGGGCTGTTGGAGCGTGTTGCGGTTTTTCATCAGATGTTTCCGGATCCGCTTGTCGTAGCGGACGCTACGCCGGAGCTGGTACTGCACGACATGCACCTGTGTGTCACCATCAACCCGCACGCGAATCTTGCCTTTCGGATAAATGCGGCTCGAGAACACCACCTCACCTTTCCCGCAGAACACCTCCACCGAGCTGCTGTCGACGAATATCCGCATATTGACGGTGCTACTGGTTGGATTCCAGTCCGCATGGCGCATTCCATCGTTACCTCCGCGATTAACAGTAACAGATCCTTTTCGCGATACGAAATCGATGACGTACTTACCCCCCGTCCATTCTAAAGTGATTGACACCTCATTAGGTGTATTCGTCGAGTTGATTAACAACTCGAAAGCTTTACCTCCTGTGTAGAACCATTCACCGGGGAGGTACCAAGCCTCCTCGATCATCTCCGATCTTAATTCGATTATTTCTTTAACCGGCTGCATGAGAAGACGACCCTGTTCGGAGAGCTTTAGCTCTCTGATGAGTGTAAGCATACTCGCCCAGGCGTCAACCGATTCTACGAATTTGCTCTCCCACGTGCCGAGCCAGGCAATCATTAGTCGGCGGCCGTCACGTGATAGCATTGTTCGCGTCGCGTAGAAGTCGTGCCCGTAGTCAAGTACGTTAAATGTAGCCGTGGACACTTCAAAATCTTCGTTAAAACGGCCGGTTCGGTAACTAAAACTCCCGACCATGTAACCCGTTTGATATAAATTTGTAAACCACGATCCATCGCTTTGTATACCTCGCACGGAAAGGATGAGCAAATGCACTCCGTCGATCTCGAACAAATCCGGGCACTCCCACATATACCCCATGTCACCGTACGATTGAGCCACGGTGCCGTTGAAGTGCCAGTGGAACATGTCCCGCGAGGAGTATAGCCCCAGTGCAGCCAGCCGCCTCTCGTTCTTCATCCCGCAAAGCATGTACCACATATTTCCATTTTTCCACACTGTCGGGTTACGAAAATCCGTGCCGGTTGGGGGTTCTTTTATGATGGGATTGTATAAATACTTCTGGAAGATTATCCCATCGGAGCTTATAGCCACATTTTGATTGCGCTTCGTATCATTGCCTTCGGTGAAAGTTCCAGTGTAGAAGACAGTCATGTAGTTGTTCTGCACGAGAGCGGTGCCGGTAAGGCAGCCTTGCCACTCGTACTTTTCCCTAGGGATGATGGCAGGTGGGTAGTGCCACCAATCGACGAGGTTATCGCTGACGGCGTGACCCCATTGTATATGTCCCCATCCGCCGTTGTAGGGGTGATACTGGTAGAAGATGTGGTACTGCCGCTGGAAAAAGGTGAAGCCGGCGGGGCTGTTGAGCCAGCCCTTAGGCGCGGAGATATGGTACGTGGGTCGGTATTTCCTTTTAGACAACACGCTCTTGTGTTTCACCCTCTCGAAGTTGTTGATCTCGTCTATTAACTGCGCCGAGGCGAGCCAGAGTAGGCCGACAACGATCACGCGCACTTCCATCTGATCTGGGAGCTCCAATAACACTATTAGCTATTGCATCGTGCGGGTTTACAACTATGCAATAACAATGGCATGTTTGCATAACTATTGATACTATGTAACTTAAATAATCGAGAAGATTAGCTGTAGGAATCATGGTAAAAATTATTGTAAATATTGCCGTTAGTGTAGATGCGCAAATGAAATAAGTTATGTTGAAAAGCAAACCTAATTTTATTCCAAATTTTTGTTTTGTTTTGTATTATAATGGCATAAACAATAATAATTTAAAAATGAACAATAGTAATTTAAAAATAAACATCAGATAACATTACAATTACAACTGTGCACAGCATCAGAAAACTATAAATTGTGTGATTTTATAAACAAAAGAAATAGATTTAAAATAGAAAAAGGTCTAAAAATTTTCAAAATTAGCTGTTTGATGACCAACTTCGATGCGGGAAGTAATGACCTTATAAAAAATTATTGGCGGGAAGACTATCACGGAATATATTATGGCTTAAACTTAAGTCCTTTCCTCTTTAAGTGATTCGCACTTTATTAATACTTTCGTGTTATTTTATATTGTTAGTGTTTTGTAGAAAAGGCGTAAGCAACATTTCGAACATTTTTTCGAAGGATCGTGGTTTAAGTTTCCACGACTGTTTTAAAATATTTACGCCCTGTTTTAAATTCAATTTTAAAACTTAAACTTATCGAAGAACTCAATATGTCTCTATTTTACTTTGTAAATGTCCATGTAAACCAAATACTTAACATTTGGGTCAAACTCAAACCTCATGAGTTCATGCTGTGTAAAAAAAAAAACAACAAAAAATCTGATCCTAAAATTATTTATTAACTGTTTAACAGTATTTATTTATTAAGCAATTATGCTTATCTTTATTAAAAAATCAAAATATACAAATAACTAGTCATACTTAAAGTATCATATATCATACACTCTGTAAAAAATGTATATTGTGTAACGTTAACAGCTCGAGTCAGAGTTTAACCCTCACGAGTTAATATAAAATAATAAACTTGATGCATGTGCATCAAACGACGTATTATGATACATTTTTGTTGGAAATTTTTCTTTGTGTCCGATTTTCATGTCAACAATAGTAACAAAGTATAATAAACTTGATGCCTGTGCATCAAACGACGTATTATGATATATTTTTTGTTGGAAAATTTCTTTGTGTCCGATCTTCATGTCAACAATAGTAACAAACTATAGTTTTAGTTATCCTATATTAGATGTCCAAAATGTAAACAAAAAATGTCATGAAATGTTATTGTTAAAGTGTGAATGCAGGTGTGCTAAACCTTCTATATTTACCGGAATTGGAAGAGGGGGAAGTTTTCATTTTCTACCATTTTAATTATCTATTACAAAATATAACAATAAAGAAAAACTTTACAAACAACTACACATAATAACTTAAAAAACTCATTACGGAGACAAGAAAATATTCGAGTTCGAGAAATGAAGCACGAATGACATCTATGACACGACAAAATGGCGGCACAAAAAAATGTTTTTAATCCCGATTGTGTTACCAGTGTCATAAAATGATTTACTATCATAACCATAGTCTTTTGTTATAATCATTGCACTAAACGAAAATTATGTAAAATATATATTGCCAAACTGAATACTTCTAAGTTTAATCGGATTACAACTTGAAAAGAGTTCTACTCGTTTACTATCGTCAAAAATAGGAAACTACCATTTAAAATGTATTTTTTTGCTCGGTTATCCTATTTGTTGACACACATCAATCTAAATGTGATTCATACTTTATTATCGGATTACTAAAGCGCCAAACAGAACCCCTGAAAGCTCATTTTCGTCAAAATGGCTCATTGATAGAATGAGCTCTAGGTGTAAAGTCCTACACCGAAATTAATACCCTAATTAAATGCCTAATGTCAGTTACAAGAGAGCCGATATAAGGACGTTTCCAACAATTTAATATTGTGGAAAACATAAAAATGCAACGTTACTTCTCACAGATACATTGAATAACGTCATATGTTACACGGACATCCAGGTTTTATTATTACGGTTATTCAAGTTACACAACGTAACATTATATTATGTGTTATAAAAAAAAACAACTTATGTATCAAACGTTTTAAGAACACATTGATTTTTAAAGATATGACATTTTAGGATATCACAGTTACAGTTGGTAAAAATTAGGGGTCATTATTATACACACCAAATCTACATATAAAATTCGAGCAAACGATATTATGAATCCGACATTACACTTTTCTTCGTGTTTACGTAATATGACTAACAAAAATGTTATTTATATAAATTGTTCGAAACAATAAAATAATTTTAAATACCACAACTGTACTAAATCGCTTTACAAAAATTCCAAAATATACACCAGACAAAAATAACAAAATACTAACATCTCTTTTACATAAATTGTTAATTGAAAGTAGGTATTAATTATAACCGCCAGATTTATATCTATCGGTATGCTGTACCTAGAGGTTATTGATTTGATGTAGGTACGCATTTCTTTGTCATTCCTCTACTAACACCTCCACGAAGCAACTGGTCGTGTGTTTAGGAATTTAAACCTGTTTTAATAAAAAGCTCCTAAATTCGGTTCTTAAGTGGTTATTGTGATGTATGCAAATAAGACGAAGTTATATATTAATAATTAATTGAGTAGGTATAAGTCTTTTTCTCTGTATTCTTTATCTTTGTCTCGCAATATACGCTGTGGAGTGCGTCACGACGTGTTTAAATCTATCGAATATCCTAATAGGTATCTAAATCTAGGGTACAGGTGCTAAATTTAGCAGGGTTGCCAGTTTTCGTAAAATTTTAATATAGTCATGTGGTAGTTGTCGATAGTTTTGTCCACAGACCACATAAATACTTATTCCGTGGTTTTGTCGATAGATTGTGAATTGCCAAAAATGAGTGAATTGTGAATGTTACGACGTTCTAATTGTTACTTGTTGCGTTATTGTACTATTTATGCTTATTTTGAAAATAAGCATAAATAGTACAATTTGTGCTTATTTTTATTAAAGTTTATTAAAGTTATATAAAGTTGTATATATATATATTATATATATATATATATACAGGGTGACTGGTTGAACGAAATAAATATTTAAAGAGATGAATGAGTAGCTGATACCCATCCCGAATATGTAAAAATAACACGACTATGTAAAAAAAAAATATTAAACATTTTTATTTAAAGAAAATACTGGCTCTAACATTTTGTATTACTCTGCGCGTGACACCGCGTTCGTCAAAACAAAATCTTCTGCGCATGTGCATTAGACACCCCCGCCACTACTCGTTGAAGGCCGCTTGCGCCGGCTATCCCGCCCGCGCGTCCCGCCCGCCGTCCGCCGGGTTAGTTCGCTTACGCCCTTCTGTAAGTCAGGACGTTGTGATTTTGCGATTAAACGCACGCGCCGCGCGCCGCCACCGCGCCGATCTTTGTTTTCCGTGATACATCGGTCTATTCAACTGTGTAATTCCGTGGAGTGCAGTGACACATAACGATGCCTTATCACTACACAAATGAGGAGTATTGGGACATGATACGGTGTTATGTTATGGCAAATGATGTAGTTAGTGGTGCTAGGGACCTGTACCGTGAAATGTTCCCTAATCGGCGAGTTCCATCCTACACTTTAATGTTAGGACTCAATTTTCGTTTGAGGACTTTTGGGCAGTTCACTGTGCCCTGGCATGCTCAAGGGCGAGGAAGGGATTTTTGAATACTTTGAGCATGACCCACGCCGATGTACTCGAAATGCAGCAAGACGATTCGGAGTGTCACAATGGACAGTGTGGAAACTCTTACACAGAGACGGTCTTCACCCGTACATTGTTAAGATTGCTGTAAATTTGTAAATTTAATCAAAATTAATTATTGTAAACAGGTATGATTCCATTTTTTAAATACGCCAAAAATACCAAACCATGCTCATACCTACTAGCTTAGTTTGTGTTTTACAACTGCCTAAAATATTGTGTACTTTAAAAAATAATTTATCGTAGTTTAATTGGTATTTTTGCCTGTCCTAAGCCAAAATCAAAGTATGAAGGGAAAATGGAATTATTTTTAAAACATTTTAAGCGAGAGAGGCTTGACACGCGCTCGTAGCGCGAGGCGCGGCGCGGCGACGGGCGGTTCATTTTCCTAACAATCAGCTGTTCGTAGAGTAGCTCAAACGAACAGAGTATTAGCATTTGTAAAGTGGTACGATATATTTTTTTTATAATGTTTTGGGGCGATATTTTTACATATTCGGGGTGTGTATCAGCTACTCATTCGCCACTTTAAATATTTATTTCGTTCAACCAGTCACCCTGTATATATATATATATATATATATACACACACATCAAGTGTCTAGGGATCAAGTACGTTTAAGAGTATTGCTGCAATTAGGGTTAATTATATTAACTTTTTCGTATCGCTATTGATACTTTGTAGTGAGTTTTAACATTTAAATAAGGAATATTGTTTAAAATTCGATAATAAGAAGAAAATCGATTGTCAATGTGGTTTTGTATAAAAATGAATTATAGCGTTTTGACAAAATCATTACAATATCTGCATCGGAACCGAAACAATTTACATTATTATGGAGAGACGACATCATTTAACCCGAGAAGTGATGATGCGAGCCGTCGGAATGTTGGAAGCTGGTTCCAGGCAACGTGCTGTGGCTTTCACTCTTAACACTACACAGAGCGTCATATGTCGCCTCTGGACGCGCTATCGTATGACGGGCAGCGTGGCCGAGCGACATGGAGGACGATCTCGCATCACGACTCGCAGACAGGACCGGTATATCCAAAATACTGCTCGACGGAATCGTACCATGACCGCCATGATGTTGGTTACGAGGCTCCACAGCTCCTCAGGCTTGCTAATAAGCGATCAAACAATCCGAAATCGTTTACGTGAAGTGGGTCTTTGATCCCGAAGGCCGCTCAGAGTTCCACCTATTGC